CTGGCTGGGGTACAGATGGCAGTCGGGGTCTCGATGCAGTCAGCCCCTCCACCGCACCTCCATGCGTTGTCCCCATGGATGCCTGGAATCTCACTGTGGGAACCGTCTCTCCAGCAAAAAACTGTTCCTCAAGACTCCTCTTCAGAAGGCTCATGATTCTGGGAGGGTGACCAGGTGGATCATGTGGCCGAGTGCCAAGAGTGAACGTGACTGGCATCAAAGGGTTAGACTCAGAAAGGAGAGGGCAGGCACACCCTTAGCAGTTTTCAACTCAGCCCAGGAGGCCATCTGTTCCCTGCCCCCTCCCAGTACAGCAGGGGCCAAACTGAGCACGTCACTCAGCAGGAGGTACTGGGCTGGGGGGTGATGGCCAGAGTAGAGCAGGGGCTGACCCAACCACGTCACCCAGCAGGAGGGGCTGGGCTGAGGGGTGATGGCCAGACAGGCTGAAACCCTACACCTCTCCCCAGCCTGGGGACCTGGCTCTCCTTCCCAACAGATTCACACCGATGGTCACAATGCCCTCGAGGGGAGGCAAGAGGGCAGGGGGTGGCAGCTACAGCCAGGATCGCCACCCGGCACTGTGCCAAGGGGTGCCGCCCATAGACACTGCCATGAGCATGGCATCTGGGGATCCCGCAGGGAGGTGACCCTGCTCCAGGACCCCCGATGGGTCACCTGTGCACCGTCTAGTGTAGCCGGCTTCCTCCTTGCCTCCAAGGACAGGATTATCTTTGGTGATCTATCGTGAGGACGCCGCACGTGCATTCTGAAGGGAGAGTGGGATGAGGCTGAGGGTATCTCAATCCCAGAGCAAGAATGAGGGGCTCTCCTGAGTCATCCACACTCCCCTGGTTGAATTCCAGCTGGGCCAGCGGTTCTCAAACCCAGGACCCCTTTACACGCTTAAAAAAATCCAGGTTTGAAATCCATTTGGCACTTCCTCAAAATGTTAAATACAGATTTACCATATGACCCAGAAACTCCGCTCCTGGTTACAGACCCAAGACATGTCCTCACCGAAACCTGTACACAAATGTTCTCAGCAGCATTATTCACAACAGCCAAAAAGTGGAAACAACCAAAATATCCACCGACCGATGAATGAGGAAACTGTGCTATTTCCGTACAATGGATTAGTTACAAGGGATTATTATTTGGCCACAAAAAGGAATGAGGTACTAACACCAGCTAAATCATGGACGAACCTTTAAAACAACCTAAGTAAGAAAAGTCCGTCGTAAACGACCACGTACTGTATGATTCCGTTTATATGACGTGCCCAGAATAAGCAAATCTGAGAGGGAAGGTGATGAATGGTTATCGGGGCTGCAGGAAAAGGGGAACAGACTGCCAGTGGGTTCAGGACTTCTTTTTGGGGTGATAAAAATGTTCCGAAATTAGACAGTGGTGATGGTTACACAATTTTGTGAATATACTAAAACCACTGAACTGCATCCTTTAAAAGTGTGAATTTTATGGTCTATGAATTACAACTTCAGCACCAATACAGACCACGAAAAAAATGAATTATAACTCATTCATAGGCTGGACATGGTGGCTCATACCTGTAATCCCAGCACTTTGGGAGGCTGAACTGGGCAGGTCACCGGAGCCCAGGAGTTCGAGATCAGCCTGGGGAACGTGGTGAAACCGTTTCTCAACAAAAAGAACAAAAATTAGCTGGGCGTGGTGCATATCTGTGGTCCCAGCTACACTCGACCTCCTCCTGAGCCCAGGAGGTCGAGGCTGCAGGGAGCCACACGACTGCGCCACTGCACTCCAGCCTGGGTGACAGAGCGAGACTCTCTCTCAAAACAACAACAACAACAAAATGCTATAAAAAATTATTGAGGTCGGATGTGGTGGCTCAGGCCCGTAACCCCAGCAATTTGGGAGGCCAAGGCGGGAGGATTGCTTGAGGTCAGGAGTTCAAGACCAGCCTGGCCAATGTGGTGAAACCCTGTCTCTATTAAAAATACAAAAAAAAAAATAGCTAGGCGTGATGGCACATGCCCGTAATCCCAGCTACTCAGGAGGGTGAGGCAGGAGAATAGCTTGAACCTGGGAGGTGGAGGTGTAAGTGAGCCGGGATCGTGCCATTGCACTCCAGCCTGGGCAACAAGAGTGAGACTCCGTCTTCAAAAAAAAAAAAAAAAAAAAAAAGACATTATTAAGGAATCCAGAATACATGGGCTATGACCATTGCTAGTTACCAGAAATTAAAACTGAGAAAATCTTTAAAATTTTGTTAATTCATTAAAAATAATAAACCCATTACAAGAAAAAAAAAAAACCACCCCATCAAAAAGTGGGCAAAGGATATGAACAGACACTTCTCAAAAGAGGACATTCATACAGCCAACAGACACATGAAAAAATGCTCATCATCACTCGCCATCAGAGAAACGCAAATCAAAACCACAATGAGATACCATCTCACACCAGTTAGAATGGCAGTCATTAAAAAATCAGGAAACAACAGGTGCTGGAGAGGATGTGGAGAAATAGGAACACTTTTACACTGTTGGTGGGATTGTAAACTAGTTCAACCATTGTGGAAGACAGTGTGGCCATTCCTCAAGGATCCAGAACCAGAAATACCATTTGACCCAGCCATCCCATTACTCGGTATATACCTGAAGGATTATAAATCATGCTGCTATAAAGATACATGCACACGTATGTTTATTGAGGCACTATTCACAATAGCAAAGACTTAGAATCAACCCAAATGTCCAACAGTGACAGACTGGATTAAGAAAATGTGGCACATATACACCATGGAATACTATGCAGCCATAAAAAGGATGAGTTCATGTCCTTTGTGGGGACATGGATGCAGCTGGAAACCATCATTCTCAGCAAACTATCACAAGAACAGAAAAACAAACACCGCATGTTCTCACTCGTAGGAGGGAATTGAACAATGAGATCACTTGGACACAGGAAGGGGAACCTCACACACCGGGGCCTATTGTGGGGAGGAGGGAGGGGGGAGGGATAGCATTAGGAGATATACCTAATGTAAATGACGAGTTAATGGGGGCAGCACACCAACATGGCACCTGTATACATATGTGACAAACCTGCATGTTGTGCACATGTACCCTAGAACTTAAAGTATAATTTTAAAAAAACCCTTTAGACGTGCACGATTTACATATTTTATGAAAAACTACACTTAAAAAGCAATTAGACAAATACATTGTTTTACATTTTTACAACTGTTTTTAATGTTTGGCTTCACAAAAGAAACAGCGGGACATTCATATCTGATTCTTCACTCACACATTTGTGACAGGTGGTTTCACTGAAGTCCATGAAGGACATCCAGACCCTCACAAACGTGCATGATGGCTGAAAAGAGGAGCACTGTTTTTTACTTTCCAGAAATTGTAAATATTTTTCTTTGATATTGCACCCAAACTCAACAAATGGTAGTTTCTTAAAGATTAGTTTCAATGCGGCATCTGAAACCACATCAATGAACTTCTCCTTTTCTGTACATTTGTGAGAGGATAAAACCCGGTCCCATTACTCTTCTTATGAAAAAACTTCTGACCCTGTGGATCTCCGGAAGGGAGTTGGGGGACCCCCGAGAGGCCCCAGCTCAGAGAACTGCTTTTCTAGGCCAGGGCCACCGGTTGCCCTGACGACGCGCCGACCGCCACCACCTGACCACACGGGTCCCTCTACCCCAGGGACACGTCCAGGCACCTGCTCTTCCAGATCAGACCTGACCCTCCCCTGCGGGCTGCCTCGGCAAAGAGACCTGGACAGCCCCAGGCCCCAAATAGCCAAATGTGGAAACCCTATGGCCAGGCCCAGATCACCCGGGACCCCCCAGATGTAGGCTCCATCTTCTCCCCGATGAGGCTAATGGACAAGCAAGGAAAGACAGGGTCAAAAGTGACACAGTCCTCAGACAACTTTAAACCAGTGCCCCATCCCAGCCTTTAGAGCACTACGGTTTGCTTTGCTTTGTTTTTTAAAAACTTCGGTTATCTTGTACTTTGCAGCCACACCGCCCCACACGGGTGTGGAAAGCACTATTCTGTTCAGAGTAAACATTTAAATACACTTTACAGGCTGAACGTGGTGGCTCACGCCTGGAATCCCAGCACTTTGGGAGACCAAGGTGGGCAGGTCACCTGAGCTCAGGAGTTTGAGACCAGCCTGGGCAACATGGAGAAACACCGTCTCCACTAAAAATACAAAAATTAGCCAGGTGTGGTGGCAGGTGCCTGTAATCCCAGTTATTCAGGAGGCTGAGGCAGGAGAATCGCTTGAACCTGGAAGGTGGAGGTTGCAGTGAGCCGAGATCGCGCCACTGCACTCCAGCCTGGGCAACAAAGCGAGACTCCATCAAAAAAAAAAAAAAAAAAAAAAAGAGAGATCTGTGAAAATTTGGCTTTTATGTGAACTTACTAGAAGTCCAGGAACAAGTCAACTCTCTTCCCATGCCTCAGTTTCCTCGTCGGTACCCAACAGAGCTGTCGGACAGAGCGACCGCCTCGGGTAATTTCAACACCTGATTCTGACGCTGCTGAGTTACATGAGGGAGGCGAGGGAGGCGAGGGAGGCGAGGGAGGCGAGGGAGGCGAGGGAGGCGAGGGAGGCTGCTCCCACATGGGAGGTGGGAACTGAGCCCCTCCCCAGCCCAGTCCACAGGACAGAGGCGGCCACAAGAACTGTATCCTCCATGTCTCCACCCTTCTCACTGCTGTAGCTTCTGGGCAAAGGAACCACAGAGCCAAGCGCTGCAGAGGTCAAGGGAGACGGAAGGATGTTGCCTCCAGGGCTGGGGCCACGGGCAGTGGCAGGGCAGGTTCATTGTCGATGGCAAGTCTGTGGCTGACCACGCTCACAGGGGTGGCCCCGAGCAGAGGTCGGACATGAGAACCCAGGAGAATTCGGGCCCTGGCTCTGGGACGGCTGTGCACCCCCACCCTGCCGTGGCTGGCACCTCCGAAGGCACAGCTGTCCTTCACTCGTACAGAGCCACCTTGGGACAGATGGTGCGAGAAGAACAGCAACTCGAGGAGGCACATTTTGGGAAACTGCCCACGGAGCCAGCTTCGATTCTCCAAACCTCTTCAGCCTGCACTGGCTGCCAGCTCCCTGACTCGGCACGGAGGGCCTCACCAGCCAATCCCCATGCCTGGCACCCCCTTCACCAGGGGGTAAACTGTACTCACCACCACCCAGCGCTCACCTCCCGGGCTCGGATGGACGGCAGGGAGTCTGACCCTTCTCTCGTAAGAGCAGTGCCTTGTGCGTTAAACAGGGACCGTGCCCTTGTACTGACACACGGCCATTTGTCCTGAACAAAAATTAAACTGATGAGGGAACAAAATAGGGCCTTATAGAAGGTGAGTGGAAAGGCAGGGAGGGCAAAGCCCCAAATCCGGGAGGGAGGATGGAATCGGCCTGGGGAGCAGGGGCAGGAGGTTCTGTGGACAGGGCTGGTGGAGCTCTGAGGGGAGAAGAGGCAGGTTTTGTGGACAGGGCTGGTGGAGCTCTGAGGGGAGAAGAGGCAGGTTTTGTGGACAGGGCTGGTGGAGCTCTGGCCACTTCCTCAGTAAACTGGAGAGACGTGATCCCCAGGGCCAGATCTGTCTCTGAGGTACTCCCAGCTGGGACAGGTAAGAGGCCGGAGGAGAAGGGGGGTGTGTGTGTGCGTGTGTGTGCAAGCTGCATGTGCGTGTGCAAGGTGTGTGTGCACGTGTGCCTGTGTAGGGTGTGTGCACGCATGTGTGTGCATGTGTGTGCGTGTGTGTATGTGTGTGTGCACATGTGCAGGGTGTGTTTGTATGTAGGGTGTGTGCATGTGTGTGTAGGGTTGTGTGCGCGTGTGTGCAGGGTGTGTGCATGTGTGTGCATGTGTGCACGTGTGTGTAGGGGTGTGGGTGTGCACGTGTGTGTGTGCAGGGTGTGTGCGCGCGTGTGTGTAGGGGTGTGTGTGCGCGCGTGTGTGTACAGGGTGTGTGTGCATGTGTGTGCGTGTGTAGGGGTGTGTGTGTGCGTGTGTGCGTGCACATGCGTGTGTGTGCAGGGTTTGTGTGTGCATGTGTGCACGTGTGTGTAGGGGTGTGTGTGCACGCGTGTGTGTACAGGGTGTGTGTGTGCGTTTGTGTGCGTGTGTGTGGGGGGTGTGTGCATGTATGTGTGTGTAGGGTGTGTGTGTGTGTCCGTGTGTGGTGCATGGTGGTGTTGCGTGTGTGGTGTGTGTGGGGTGTGATGTTGTGGTGTGGGTGGTGTGTGTACATGAGCATGTTCGACGAGCCCACAGGCCAAGGCCGCGGCTGGGGAAGGCAGGCCCATCGAGGGGAGGGGGGACATCCCTCCCAGGAGCCCGCCCCGAAGTCTTCAGTTCGACATGAAATTTCCATTTCTCCTTCCCCGCTGGACTGTGGCTCCCCAGAGGGTCCCTACGTCGTCCTCCCTCCCTCCCTGATGCCCAGCACCGGGCCTGCTGCAAAGTAGGTGTTCAGGGAATATCCATTTAATTCAACTGCATTTCATCAGAGAGATGTGGCCTTCCCCAGACAAGGAAGAATTCAGAAAACCACCCAGACGCGCTCAGAGCAGACAGTCGGGCTCTAACCAGGCTCTGCGACTGGCTGGCTCATAAGCCTCTTATTCCTCAGATTCCCCACGGGGTCGTCAGCCTCACGGCAGCTCCACCTGACAGCTGGGCTTGCTCCTGGCTGCGGGCTGGTGCCCCCCGAGCCTCCTCTGGGAAGCTGAGACCTCCTGGTGCCACCTCGACCCCGACGGGCGACAAGCTGAGCAGAGGCTGCACTCAGGCCGGCCGGCCCGGCAGGCAGATGCTCCTGAGCCCCTGGTAAAACCCCACAGTACGGGACTAGGAGGGCCCAAGCGGAACAGGGAGGGGAACACGAGTTGCCTGGTGATAATTTCCTGAGAAAATTCCTAGGGGACAGAGGTTCATCAGCCCTGAGACAGATCCGTAAACACAACCCCTTCCTCCAGGGGGATGCAATTCTCTCTCTAAAGTTGAGAGCTCACCACCCCCGGCGTCAGTCACTGCAGACAAAGGCCACAGCCACAACCATTATGCAGCCTCACGCGGTCGCTCCTGGGGGCTGTGGGATATTCATCCCAAAAAGAAAACACCTTAAATTCAGGCGCCAGCCACCCCCATGACGACTCTCAACACCTTAATGTAGCACCTTCCAACCTTTCCTAGGCATTACGTACAAATCCTAAATAAAACTGGGTTTTTACTACATACACTGCTTGCTGGTTTTTTTAACCACGTTGTACTTTTCCCACACTATGAAAGTTCTTTAACAATAGGATTTTAAACGGTAACTTGGTATTCTGAATACAACAGGCTTTACCATCTTCCTGTGGGGGGCACACGGCTTGTTTCCAATTTTCCTCGTACACTTTTTAAGTGTATTCTTTGAGATACCTTTTCCACAGCCACGTTCACAGACACTCAGAGCTGTCCGCGGCAGGCCTCATGCTTGCCCTCTCCAAAGTGCACCTAGAATTGTCCGCCACAAAAATTCTGCTGGCGGCAGCCGCGTCTTGGGAGCCTAATCTGTGGCTCTCCGATTAGATGGTTTCAATAAGGTCACGATCCTCTAGTCACAAAAAACAAACAAACAAACAAACAAAGTCTATTCTTCGCAAACAGTTGCATCTACTGACAAGAAGCCTTCTATCTCCTCAGCAGCAGTTGTGGGCTCAGAGGCTGGTAAAGCCAGCACCAGCTTGAGAGCCCCGAGTGACCCCGTGGCTGGGGCCGGTCACGTGACCCTCCTCCAGCGACTCTTCTCCGCCCGCCTGCAGGTCCCGAAAACGTGCCTCGGGAGCTCGTTCCCGTCCGCACTAGGAGGCAGCGTGAATAGTCATCACTCCAGGAAAACTGGCTCAACCCTGACCTTCCAAATCCCGCCACAGCCACAGCACAGTAAGGAAAGCACCAGCCGCCTGCTGCCGTCAGTCTCTGACACACATCAGACTGAAAGACACATCCGGGGGCAAAACTACCTGCCTCCAAGAAGCCTGGAAACACCCCGGAGTCCCCCGCGCGTCCGCTGCGACGGGACAGGGACAGGGACAGGGACAGGGAGGGGGACGGGGCGACCATCCCACCACGTGCGGCTTCTTCTCCCCACACCTTCCCCCAGGCCGCCATCGCTCCCCACCTTACACCCTGGCATTTTCACCGCCTCCATCTCGTTTCACGGACACGTTCGGATGTAACTGAGCCTTCACACTCCCTCGGGTACGGCACGAACGAGCGCGCTTTCGTCCAGCCACAGGGTCCCACCGTGGGGAGAGTGGGCAGCAGATCCCAGCTCCTGAGACCCGCGGATCTGCTTGGCCGGGGTCTGCCTTGAAGTCACGCGCATGAGAGACCCCCAGAGAAACGCATTCCCACGGGCACGGCCACGCTGTGACTCGGGGGCGACGGTGGCAGAGGAGGCCCGGGGATGAGGGCGCAGGTGTCCGGCACAGACCGTCTCCATGGTGAGAATGAAGGAAATGATGCAGGGCGCACAGTGGGAAAGAGGCAGCGGATGGAGGGGCTGAGGGAAGCCGCTGTGCCTAGGAGGGACAGCCCCGTGCAAAGGCCAACATGGGCCACCAGCCGCTGCAGGACGCCAGTTCCTGTTGGCCACAGAAAGAGGGTTCAGGTGTGTCACACCAGGGGTGGCTGGTGCCCTCTGAGCCCAGAGCAGCAGAACTGCCCGGCCAGCCCATAGACTGAGGAGGCGTAATAAATGGAGGCACAAACCCCCAAGTTTGGTAATAAATGGAGGTCGTAAACCCCCAAGTTTGGTAATAAATGGAGGCACAAACCCCCAAGTTTGAGCAGGTATGCTTGTCACACAGTGTTACCACAGCAACACATAACGGATAAAAATGGCATCTGGCAGATAAAATCCCAACCCTGACCTCAGTGTCCAGAACTATTCAGAGTTTGATTTTCCACTTGTGGTACAAAGGCCAAAAGACCAGACGAGGGAGGCAAACAGGAGACGCGAGAGGCAAACAAAACGCACTCCCCACCCTCCCGGTGCCACAGGAAGGACCCGCGGAGAGGGCCTGGAGCCTCCCCAGGTGCCCGGTGCCACAGGAAGGACCCGCGGAGAGGGCCTGGAGCCTCCCCAGGTGCCCGGTGCCACAGGAAGGACCCGCGGAGAGGGCCTGGAGCCTCCCCAGGTGCCCGGTGCCACGGGAAGGACCCGCGGAGAGGGCCTGGAGCCTCCGCAGGTGCCCGGTGCCACGGGAAGGACCCGCGGAGAGGGCCTGGAGCCTCCCCAGGTGCCCGGTGAGGAGGACCGCGGGAGGGCTGGGCCTCCCAGGTGCCCGGTGCCACGGGAAGGACCCGCGGAGAGGGCCTGGAGCCTCCCCAGGTGCCCGGTGCCACGGGAAGGACCCGCGGAGAGGGCCTGGAGCCTCCGCAGGTGCCCGGTGCCAGGGGACCCGCGGAGAGGGCCTGGACCTCCCAGGTGCCCGGTGCCACAGGAAGGACCCGCGGAGAGGGCCTGGAGCCTCCCCAGGTGCCCGGTGCCACAGGAAGGACCCGCGGAGAGGGCCTGGAGCTTCCGCAGTGGCCTCTGCAGGGCTGGAAGAGAGGCTTCATCCCAAATGCTAAATCTGGCACCCAGAGGGCTGGGTTGAAGAGGGGTTGGAGGCGGCCTCCGGCCTCCGTGGGAAAGGACGCTGTGATCTGTGAGTCACGTCTGCCCCCTGCGTGGAGGGGGTGAGTCTGCCATCCCGCCAGGGCGCTGTGCCTCGGCCAGGGCGACAGGAAGGAGACGGGTTTAAAGGAGGGAAAAGAAGCCGGGACAAATATAAAAGGATACTTGCCACCAAGCCGGTGTGTCCCGAGGCCTCGAAGACACCGTGTGGGAGCCTCCGTTCAACACCAAGGTATTAACATCCCAGGGAACCCTTAGCAACAGCCCTGACATCTGCTCTGTTACTACGATACGGGAAACACGAGGAGAGCAGCAAGATAAGGTGAACCCAGACGTCACCATTTCCTCCACCTGCCAGGCCGCGTTGGGAGGATAAAAGACTCAGAGAGGGAGCCTCAAAGGCCTGTCTAAACCCCAAAGGTACCACTTACTCGGAGACATCACGGGCTGATTATGCACTGAGCAGGTTCGAGAGGATTCTGGAGTTGAAACAGGAGCCCTGGGGAAACCAGTGTCTGACACAAACGTCCTTCAAACTCCCCCATCCCCGGGCTCCCTGCCAGGCCTGCCTGCTGGCGGCGGCTCCCCCTCCTCCCAGCAGCTCCCCCTCCTCCCTCCCCCTCCTCCTGGCGGCTCCCCCTCCTCCCAGCACCTCCCCCTCCTCCCTCCCCATCCTCCTGGCGGCTCCCCCTCCTCCTGGCTCCGACTCTCCTCCTCCTGGCGGCTCCCCCTCCTCCCAGTGGCTCCCCCTCCTCCCGGCTCCGACTCTCCTCCTCCCGGCGGCTCCCCCTCCTCCCTCCCCCTCCTCCCGCCCCCTCCTCCCGGCGGCTCCTCCTCCTCCCAGTGGCTCCCCCTCCTCCCGGTGGCTCCCCTTCCTCCCAGCTCCGACTCTCCTCCTCCCGGCGGCTCCCCCTCCTCCCAGTGGCTCCCTCTCCTCCCGGCGGCTCTCCCTCCTCCCAGCTCCGACTCTCCTCCTCCCGGCGGCTCCCCCTCCTCCCTCCCCCTCCTCCCTCCCCCTCCTCCTCCCAGTGGCTCCCCTTCCTCCCGGCGGCTCCCCCTCCTCCCAGCTCCGACTCTCCTCCTCCCGGCGGCTCCCCCTCCTCCCTCCCCCTCCTCCTCCCAGTGGCTCCCCCTCCTCCCGGCGGCTCCCCCTCCTCCCAGCTCCGACTCTCCTCCTCCCGGCGGCTCCCCCTCCTCCCAGTGGCTCCCTCTCCTCCCGGCGGCTCCCCCTCCTCCCGATGGCTCCCTCTCCTCCCGGCGGCTCTCCCTCCTCCCAGCTCCAACTCTCCTCCTCCCGGCGGCTCCCCCCTCCCTCCCTCCCCCTCCTCCCCTCCCCCTCCTCCCTCCCCCTCCTCCCGGCGGCTCCTCCTCCTCCCAGCGGCTCCCCCTCCTCCCAGTGGCTCCCCCTCCTCCTGATGGCTCCCCCTCCTCCCTCCCCCTCCTCCCGGCGGCTCCTCCTCCTCCCAGCGGCTCCCCCTCCTCCCAGCGGCTCCCCCTCCTCCCGGCTCCGACTCTCCTCCTCCTGGCAGCTCCCCCTCCTCCCGATGGCTCCCCCTCCTCCCGATGGCTCCCCCTCCTCCCGGCGGCTCCCTCTCCTCCCAGTGGCTCCCCCTCCTCCCAGCTCCGACGCTCCTCCTCTCTTGCCCAGACAGGGGCAAGTCTTCCTCATCTGCCTTGGAACCTGCTGGGGCTCCCGGTGCCCCTCTTCACGTGCAGTCACAGGTCCGGCTGTGTGACTCCCCCACTCAAACACCTTCAGTGGCTCCCCACTACCAAGGAAGAAAGCCCAAGCTGCCCTCAAGGCCGTCCATGATCTGGCACAAACCACCTTCCATTCTAGCAGCCACCTCACCCCTCTGCAAAACTGGCGCTCCAGCTGCCCAGCCTTGTCTCCGGCACCTCTCACCTGGAACGCCTTTGGTTCACGCTGTCCACCTCCCCCAGCTGCGGGTGGCCCAGCAGCACCTCCCCTGGGAACTCTCTGGCTCCCTCCCATCTGGCCCCCGTTCCGATTGAGCCCACCTCCCTCCCATCGGCACTTCATTCTGCCCGCATCCCGGGGTCTTCAACCGTTACCCCGATGCCCAGACACGGTGGGTGTCCAGTATTCCTCAGGGGACTAACTGAACCATCAAGAGTTTGCCACTCACCAGAACTGTGTAATCAGTCAGGCACCAATAATTCTTTCTGAGACAGGGTCCTGCTCTGTTGCCCAGGCTGGAGTGCAGTGGCACAGCTGTAGCTCCCTGCGGCCTCCAACTCCTGGGCTCAAGTGATCCTTGTGTCAGCCTCCCAAGTCGCTAGAACGACACGCCTGGCTAATTTTTAAATTTTTTGGTAGAGACAGGGTCTTGCTCTGTTGTCCAGGCTGGTCTCAAACGATCCTCCTGCCTCAGCCTCCCACGTAGCTGGGACTATGGGAGTACGCCACCACGCCCAGCCCGCCAATAAAATCTTGTCTTAAAAAGCGCCTCACGGAATAAGGTCCAGCCTCGCTGGCCTGAAATTTAAGGCCCAGCAGTGTGAACCCGTCACCTCCTTCACCTGCCTCTTTCCCCCTGCCACACCTGGGCTCTCTACG